ACCATCAAGGAGGGTTTTCAGACTCCCCCCTGCAGCCTGAGCCCAGACAACATATGAGTCAAGTCCAAACTGCCACAGTCTGTAATCTAAAATGTGCGAGGGTGAAACACTTAGCTTAGCAGTTCCAAAGTTTGCAGGGACAAGGAGACAACAAGGGAGAGGGGGAAAAAGAGGAAGTGTGGGAGAGATGTGCAGAATGATTCAGTAACATGCGGTAAGCATCCCGGGCAGGCCTGGTGCTCGGAGAGCTGATGGGGGCAGGGGAGGGTGGTTATAGCTTGGGATAGCACTGCGATAAATGAAATACTGTGACACGGGCATGTTTTCTGTGGGTTGTAAGTAATCGTGGCTGCAACTGGGCTGGATCCATCGAGGCTGAACGTAGACGAGCTTTTCTCAGCCTCCTGCAGAATCGCGCCCATTTTATTAGATTTAACTCATGTTTTTAAATCATCACACAAATTAAAGTTGGCTACACACGCCTACTATGAAGCACTATATCTACATTCTTCTTGGTTTCTTGTTGTAATTTTGCACAACTCTGTTAATGAACTTCTCAAATGCAGCGCATTCATTTTTGGTGACTTCTCACGTGTCCGGTACCTCCAGTCCTTCATGATATGCTCATGGTCACGCAGAAGGCAACTTCTTTCAGAACACAAAATTCTATTCAATGAGAAAAAAGAATGCTGAACTGTAGCTGTTGTGACTGGGACTAGAAAGAGATGAATTCCTACTTCTTTCATCCCAGGAAACATAGCACAAAAATTGGGTCGAACCTCTAGTGATGATAAAGAAGAAGTTGAAGTTAAATCTTCATTTGTTCATAGTATGATATTCCACTCTGTGCTCTAATTCTCTATTCTGTCCTGATCACAAGGCAGCTCCATTGCAGGTAGTGCCTCACTCGCTTTATAAGACAGGCATCTGTAAAAGCTAGGTAGAGGTTGATAGAATCCAGAAGCTGGTGGTGTAGAGATGTAAGAATCAAGTCTGTGTACTTTACTTTTTCAGCTGGCTTAACAAACACTTTTTGTCCTCTTAATTTAAGGAGTCAATATAAGTGCCCTAATTAGTCAACTTCTGGACTGAAGTCTTTGCTTCTTCCAGTATGTTTTCAATTGATATCTCTCTGATTGATCCAAGTGTAGCTTCTATTGCTGGACAAAGATCTACTACTGTTGTAGCAGATGCCTGGATGGCATTGTTTAATGACCCACGTGGTTTCAAAGGTAGACTTACAAGAGAGAATGGCGATAGTCTTTTCTGAACTTAGTAACAAAAGTAGTCCAGTAGCCTCACTACTTAGATCCGTCCCATCTCAGTAGATACTTTCCAAAGCCAGTAATAATGGTTGCAGTAATTTTAAGACAAGAGCCAAGGATCGCTCATGAGAAAGCCAGTGGGTTTTCCCAGGTTGGAATAATTTGAACTTCAGTCCCAGTGTATCTTCAATTTGTTTTCAAGACGTTCAGTCCTTTTGGACTCTTGCTGAAAAAAAAAAAGAAGAGTATAATGAAGACATTAAATTTATAGCTTTTTAAATGCCTTTTGGAGATTCTGCAGCCTGTTCTAGTGCTAGTTGGAGTAGATGGCATCTGCAGTGTGTACAAGAGAGTTTAGAGTTACACTTTTCTCTGAGCAAAGATTGTACTTCACTATGTCTCCCAGAGAAGTTTGCAGTGCCATCAAATGCACAAGCAGCCATCTCTTTGGGGTTCAATTTACAAGCATTTAATTCTTCTAAGATGCAGTCAATGTGTCTTCTATAAACTGAACATTTAGAAATGCATCTACTGGCCTGCCACTGACATCAAGATAATGTATGCAGGGACTTAATACTTGACACCTATTTTCATCGGTGCATTCATCAGCCATGTATGCACATTTTCTGAATGTGGTGAGAGAGTTCTTCACTTTTTCAACTGCTGAGTTCACTGTTGCACTGCATGCTTCTAACCAGTCAGTTGAGTTTCTTGCAGAAAGACAGTGAGCATTTGCTGGTCTTAGTTGGAACCAGTGTCCAACTTCAGGATTAACAAATGACAATGCACTTAACATTGGCCTCCAGTTTGTAGTGTTGTAGTGGTATCTCTTGCTTAAAGAGAAAGTATGATGTGACAGCCATGTTTGTTTGAATAAACTGTGTCTCCAGCATTTTTAACAGCCTCGTTTAGTACTTCTAAAATTGGCTTTGACAATGACTGGCTCATAAGGCTTTCTGCATGTCGATGCAGTCCAGAAGATTGGTGTTTTGCAGCCTTTTCACATAGTTTGTCAGCATTGGCTTTGCAGATCAGTCTGGCAAACCAAGCTCCTCCACTTTTATTATATAAATCCATAGTATGCTCACATCTTGAATACTGCATGCAGTTCTGATTGCCCCATCTCAAAAAAGATATATTGGAATTGGAAAAGGTACAGAGAAGGGAAACTAAAATGGTTAAGGGTATGGAACAGTTTCCATGTGAGGAGAGTTTAAAAAACTGGGACTTTTCAGCTTGGAAAAGAGAGGACTAAGACAGGATATGACTTGACTGGTGTGGAGAAAGTAAATAATAGGCAGCAGGTTTAAAAAAAACAAAAGGAAGTACTTCTTCACACAACACACAGTCAACCTGTGGATCTTTTTGCCAGAGGATGTTGTGAAGGCCAAACCTATAATACAGTTCAAAAAAGAACTAGAAAAATTCATGGAGGACAGGTCCATCAGTGGTTATTAGCCAGGACGGGCAGAGATGCAACACCATGCTCTGGGAGCCTCTGCTTTCCAGAAGCTGGGAGTGGACGACAGAGGATGGATCACTCAATAATTGCCCTGTTCTGTTAATTCCCTTTGAAGCACCTGGCACTGGCCCCTGTCGGAAGACAGGGTACTGGGCTAGATGGACCATTGGTCTGACCCAATATGTCCATTCTTATGTTCGTATGTAAAAATTAATTATAATATAATAAAAATGTTTAGTACAGAAACTCCCCAAGACAACGACCTCTCAAGATAGCAACAATGTGAGATAATGACCTTGGTAAATAATGCATTTAAAAAAAATATCTTGGCCTACTAGGAAATGTATATTTATATAAGTTTCTTAGTCACAAATCTAGCATTCTGGAGCAAAGTCACAAAAACGTAGTCCAACAAACAAATGTTCTTTTAACATAGGGTTACCATATTTCAGCAAGCAAAAAAGAGGACGGGAGGAGCCCCGCCCTAGCCCCTCCCACTTC